ATTGACCACGGGAGCGACTTCTTCTTATTACTGCCGCCGCTCTCGTAACCCATTGAGTTTTGCTTGAGCGAGCGATAGGACAGGATTTGCTCACTCACTCAGACGCATTGAAAGTCCACCGCGACAATGGACACGCAACCCAGCATCGACCCTCACGGGCGATGCCGGCTCCGATCGTATCCGACGCAAGTGGGTCCGAACACGCTAAAGACCTGTAAACAGAGTCGTGGGAGCTGCCGGCGGCAACTGAGCTCGGATCGAATGAGACCAGATTTCTCGTTCACTCAGTCAGTCGATTCCTTGGCAACACCCGCCCTTCTGTTTCCATAATAAGTCCAGTCGTTCTCCCGGCTTCCGAACGGTCCTCTATGGAATTACACAGTGGGGAGCGATAGGGTTTGTTTTACGGCACGTAGCGCTCGCCGCGCCACGGCAATCTGTTTAGAAGAACTCGATGAATCTATTACGGTTATCCGATTTTCGGCGATTCGCTGTTACGATCGACAGAAAGTAGTTCAGCTCCTCCGGCGCGGTTACCAATTTTCTTTTTGTGATCGTAGGTACGTTGAACGATTCCAGTGAGCTGCTGCTCCAGAGCGACTGCCTAAAAATAAACACGAGTCCGCACGTCACAATTGTAAACAATAGAAAGCCCCGGATCGAGTCTCACTCTTGCGGTGTTCGCGTATATTTCCATGAGTTCCTCTATTGGCAAACCGCTTCCCTCAGCGAGTAGTGCGGAAATATAGATGAGAGTTGGAAAATAGCTCACGGATCGGACTCAAAAAAGTTGCATCGTATACTTTACGTCAAGCGAGACGTTTCCCCAGCGATCGCACCATGTCACAATCGAGGTTCGATTCTCGTCAAGAGCTTCGGACCTTATGCCTGAGCTCGTTTGACGCGCTCTCCGGTGTTTTAAGGAAGCTTGGGAAACTTTTCCGAGTGCAAGGAGCTACCGTGCCAAGTGAACGAGACGTTCAATAGCGCCATTTCAAAACATTCCCAGCCATTGTGACGCACTCTGTCTGGTACGGACAATTCGACTAATGGCCGGAGAAGGGCGAGAGTCACAGCGAGAAGGGAGGGGGGATTCGGTGGCTATGTCGCGAAGGGGAACGGAGGGGCAGAGCTATATTCACCGCTCGCTCACCTTCCTTCCTTCTTCCGCCCGCCTGCGTACCTGACCGCCTGCCCGCTACTCCCTGGGCTCCTCATCGCACAATCGGCGCTTCCAGCCGCATCCACCGGAGGAAATTCTCAATGAGAGCACAATCGGAACCCGAAAGTCCCTAATGAATCATTTGATGCATCGAAAATTTGGCTTCTTCTGTCTCTTCGGGTGTATCAGAACTCGCCAACAAGGGAACGTTCCCATTCATCCCCCCGAACGGCCGCATCCATCCAGCCGTGGGAAGTAGGCCTCGCCGCTCTACGAGATGATGATGGACGCAGGCAGAGATAAAGGCCTCATAGCCTGATGTCACTCCGAATCGTCGCGCCACAAGGATCCGGGTAGTTCGAAAGGAACCGAACGGGAATTCGGACGGTTGCCATGGGCTGCGTTCATATTAGGCGGCCCGCGTCTCCTCCAGGTCCCGTCTCGCTCTGAGTTCCTGTCGCGTCGGAGGCTCCCTTCAAAACGACCTTTCATTTTTCAAATGCGATCTTCGTTCCGGAGATAGATCATCGAAAGCGGTAGCGAGCCTCCTGCAGGAGTAGGTATATCGATCAAAAACTCGAGCTCGCCTAGTCCCCCCCCCCTCTTAGCTCAATCCAACGGATGATTTCCCCTGGATGGCCGGCGGGTTAATGCATCAAATGAACCCACCCAACAAACCCTTCAGAGACCCTGTGGAGGGCTTGCAAGGCGCATCATCGGCGTCTCGGCCGCCCGGTCTATCCAACGCAACCGGCTCGACACAATCGCGATTTGTTAAGAGTACGAAGACGGGAGGAACCGTCTCGAGGCAATTCCCTTCATGTCGAGACGATTAGCTCAGTCGGCGATCTTGTCCAGAATCGTATTCATCGCTTGCCATTCAGTTCGACGTCAGAGAGCGGTCCTCAGTCGAATGCATACCCTCGGAAACGCTTAGGATCTTGTTCTTTATCGCTTCCTCAGTGTTACTGCTCCTCCGTTCCCTGCGACTCGCCCGAGAAGAACAGTTGGCTGTCTGGTCGCCAAGCTTAGCAGCCAAATTCAATGGACTGGAAGCTGAAGATAGCGGAAAGATACAGTCGGCGGCTCCTACGCATCGGGACGGCTTCTCCCTGTCCAAACCACACTCGCCGTCTGCTGCTCGACTCGATAGCTCGCTAGATAGTTGCCCGCTCACGCTTGACCCCCGTCCGATCTCGGTTTCAGAACGTGTCCGAGCGAGCCGTAGCTGACCAACAACTCCCATTGCGGTCGTTCTCCCGGTAGCGAGTGAATGAAGCACGAAATATGGGAGCGACCGGTCAGCGACTTGAGAACGAAGTTGCCGCGTAAACAACGTCCGAGAGAAAGACAAAGAAATGAGTCTAATTTCGTTTCGTTCCCGGAGTTGTTTAGACAGAGTTCCGCTTGAAGAGCGCTTTATGCTTATCTCTGTGTATTCTGCTTTGCGGAACCGGATGAGAGATCTACAAGGAGGAATCTCTTCAGAGGAAAGTGTTACCCAGCGGATCGTCAGCATCAATTCCGCCGGCCTGCCCACCCGTCTAGCGACCAGCCAGAATGGTAGGATCTCCTCGGGATTTCCGAGGAGTCTTCTGAACAACAAGTACGTCGGAAGATGGATTACGCTTGTCAAGATACACCGACGTTTTATTTTCTGCTACGGTTCTTCCGCTTTTCTGGAGTGGCACCATCATCACCAACATCATCAGCAGCAGCCGCAGCGCAGAAAAGACTCTACGAGCCTTGACGCCAAATTCGCTAAAACGTCAGGGATCATTCTTCTGTATGGTACTCGTGTGTCGCCTCCGAAAGTCATCGGCCGACCGCTGCCCGAAGGTTAACTCTCGTCCGCCCTACGTGGACTGTCGTAGGCCGTACCCTGACCCCCGGAATTCCGATGTTGCCGTGAGCTATTAGGCTCGGTCTCAATTTCAAATTAATCTCGTAGCAACCCCGGTTGCAGCGATACCGACAAGGAATTTCTCCGTCGGAGTGCTTCCGATACGCTCGAAAATCCATTGAAGGAAAAGGTTTCCCCTCCGGGAGTCGAGTCCCTCACGGATCATTCTCCCTTAAACTGACAGATCCGCTGATCGTTAGTCCTTAGAGGAGCCCATTCCCGTCTTCCGCGGACGCCTCCCCCGCGTGCGTGCGTTCGTTCGTGCGTGGGAGGCGGCCTTGAAATATAATTATCGCCATCATCATTATTGGGGTGCGATAGACACTCGAGGAAATTCCGGTTCCGTCGATTCCATCAACAAAGCCGACCGCATCGAGATAGTCAGAGAAGCTAATGATCGTGCTCAGCGCCCTCCGCTTACCTACGGGAGTAATCCGATAGGTCTCACGAAAACAGCGGTGTCGATCTGCTGGAGAGAACGTCAATATCCCACTCCCCCTACTGATGGAGCGCGACTGTCCGTGATCGCAAAAGTCTCCAGAAACTCTTGAAATTCTCCTCAGAGCATCGGTAGTCGCAGTGGAGTCAGGGCAGCGTGCTCAGGTTGGGCATCTCATCCCGCATTCGCCGAAATAACCCACCCGCGGGGATCTACCTCGCCTCTCGCGCGGCCTTCCACTTGTATCACTTCGCCCGTCGCGGCGGCCCGCCCGGCGTCCCCGAACGTTCCCGCGGTCACAGATTAAGCGCTCTCCACAACGAAGTCCTATCCATACAATCCCGATTCCGTTGGATCCGAGTGTCTGAGATACAATCGATCCGAGTTTCCGAAAATGACAGGGGGACCTGAGATTTTACTCCTCTCTACTGTAGACTCTGTCTACTAATTGAGAGCTCTATCGGAATCAGGTCCGATCCATCGGCAGCGAGGATATTTCGACTGATTCGAGCAATCGCTGAATCTTCCCGTCATGAGATATTCATTGTGACGCTCGTAGTTAGTATCGTCGTGAAATTACTGACGCCGTATACGGTCCTATACAAATTCACCACTAGCCGGAGCACATCGCTGAAATTCGCCCATACGCTTTTCCACTTATCCCCGATCATAATTCATAATCCAATGATGCCCAAACGTTCATCATATTCGCGCATGTTGATAAAGCCGCTACAATCCTAGACTAGGCTCATCGATATCTATTGACAAGACAAATATCATTCATAGTGGGGGGGGGGAAACATTCCTCTGTGGATACGGCCTGAGTCCAGGTTAAGGAGGGCTCCCCAGGCTGGTTTCCATAATGAAGTCGCTACGAGGCTGACGGCGCTTGCGACTGTGCCAGTCACGGACGGCACCAACGGAGCACCGGCCGTCGGTGGCAACACGACAGGAACCAAGCAACGAGCAAACGATTCGACTGCGCGGATTTGATAGCTCTGTTCCAGGCACGATTCGCCGTAACCTGAGCGGCGGTGGTTTGCGCACAAATAGCGCTCGCATCGTCGAGGGGAATCCGCGGGAAAGCATTCGCTCACCAAGTGCGAGACTGTGACCACACACGCGAACAGAGAAAAATAATCATACGTACGTATTTGCGTAACGCGACTCGAATTTGATTTTCTTGGTCTGCCGCACCGTCAGCCCGCCACCGCTCACTGGCGAGCCATCGAACGGACGGTCGAGGCGGCCGTAGGACAAACCGTAAACACGGGGCGGATTCATTCGATTTATCGTCATCCAACAACCGGGGAGAAGCTGTCGGGACAATGTCCCGAAGTCTGCTACATGGGTTCGTCCTCGGTCAGTGCGTGGATTCGAACCTTTCGAACGATCTCGTCCCTCCGAGGTTAGGTCGATTGTCAAATCGTCCCTCTTTCGAATCATGCGCCGATCCTTTAGACCGAGTCCGTTCTCCGAAACCTCTGAAATTCTATCTACGGGCCCCCCGAGCACTTGTGTCCCGGGAAGAGACAAAAGGGAATGTCGTTTCCGACGTGTTCCTCCTTGTCCAGTGGGGCTGTAGTAGTGGTGCTGGAACTCACCTGGAGATGAATCCGTCAGGGTGGAAGGTTTCCAGGATGGCCTTTAGACGCTGGCCGAGTTGGACACCGACGGAGCTGGTCCTCGAAGCTCATCCACTTCACTCAATTTCGCATCTAGGGTCCCAATTTCTGCTGGGGACTGGGACCACTCCACGCCAGTTCGCACACTGCTGTGCCGTGGGAAAGAACGGAGGATCCCGCAGCAGAAATGATGTCTTGATCTCCGCTGCATGCGGAGCAATACATACGGGCCTTTGTGCGACTGCCGTGGCGCCCTCGCCGGCCTTTCGGTTAAGCTGACGTATTTTTCAATGGGCTTGACCGTGACTGATCACCCAGGCGGGTCGCAGTTTTCCGTCATATTCAGCGGGAGAAATAATTCGAGCCGGCTGTTACATGATCATGACGCTATGATCACCGACTTAGCGTAGGTCGTGCTCTTCAGACTCTCAAGCAAATGTCAACCCAGCATGGTCCCGAGCGAGCCTCTCAGAATCGATGGCACAGAACATTGGATATCGATGAAGTATAAGTGGCAGTATAATGGAACTCGGCTTCAACCGGAAAACCCAAATTCTTCCGAGAGCATGGGAGATACGCTGCTCCAGGTACATGAATGCCCGGGGGGATAGAGGATACTCTTGGCGACGAAGGTCCGCTGATGGAATATCCACGCAAACATAGAGAGGTATTGTCCTTTCCTCTCAGCATAGCTAAGTGTACTTCGATAGATGAATCGAATACCAGTTTCTCCTTCAAAGCCACGGGATGTGACGCGTGCCAATCGCCACTGAGCGCCAGGAGGGCGCCTTGCGGGGATCCATGCATGCCTTGCGAAATGTCCTTCAAAGCCTCAAATATTCCCATGTTTGGAGAACTGTATCGGAATAAACCCCTCGGACGTAACATGGATCACAGGAGTAATGTCTCTTGGCGAGCTTGCCCGTTCTAGGTTCGAATCTAATTCCAGAGGAGGTGTCCTCATCGAATCGAGCTCTTCCGGAGGAAGACTGAGAATCCTAAGATCCGACCAGACGAGGACAATGTTTATTTGCTGACTACTTGTAAGGATTTTCCCGCTCTCTTAGTTAGTGCCAACTTTCCACAGTCCAGTAGATATCATGAGGCGAATCCCTTGATATTCAGCGTCAATTAATTTCCCGTACCTAAGAATTCGTTCATCTATAATAAGCTTTCTTCACACAAATCACATCATCTTTTATATCGGAACAATATACAAGAATCAGCAGTTCCGGATTCGTTCCGAATCACGCACGAACTCTTTTCTACTGGGACGGGTAGACCGAGCGTTCTCGATGCCTGCTCGTTCGGGAAAGCTAATCTCGTCTTTGAGCTTCAGGTTCCGGATGGTTCATTCGTCGAGACGGAGTAATTCGTTCCAGAAGGAACGTGAATGTCGCTCTTCGTCGGAGTTGTCTAATCCGTCCCAGCCGATGAGATTTCAGACAGACCGCTCGAGTTTGGGGGTCAGACGAGCTGCAAGACTGTCATAAGCCGTTCAGAGCTTACAACTTAAAAATATCCTCTTTGTTGTTGCTGCTGCGATTGCTGCGCCTGCTGCTGTGATTGTTGCTGCTGCTGCTGTTGTTGTTGTTGTTGCTGCTGCTGCTGTTGAGCCGCAACCATTTGAGCTCGCTGTTGGTGCTGAATAGCTTGAACCAGTTGGTGCTGTTGCTGGAAAGCTGCCACAGCGGCGGGACTCGAGGTTGGCGGCTGTTTGTGATCTCGATGAGGTGTCTGAGCTCTCTCTTGACGTTCGCGCTCTCTACGTTGAGCTGCCGCCGCCAGCTGATGCGCAACCATCTGTTGATGCTGAATGGCCGCAGCTGCTGATGACGTCGGAACGCTCTTATTGTGCTCGTTCCGAGCTGCCGCGGCAGCAGCGGCCGCTTGCTGTCGCTGGGCCGCGACGGCGGCTTGCAGTTGCTGGAATGTCATGAAATTCAGAGACTCAGCAATTGGAACTCCTACCGCTAAACTCGAAAAATCCAGGCACGAGACTCGAAAATTCCGGGGAAAAATCAGTTGGCTGCACTCTTCCGTGGCGGGTCGGAGCATGTATTTCGAAGACAACCAATGTACCTATGATTGAACTACAGCCGACAGGTTGGCAGACGCTTCCGGTACTCACAGCTTGCTCCTGGTACTTTTTCTGCTCTTGGACGGACGTTATGGCCACCATATGCTGAGGGCCGAAAACCCCCGGCTGTCCGGGATGGTACACCATCTTATCGCCCCCGTAGGGGTTTGGGAATGGATATTGGAGATTCTGCTGGCCGGCTACGTAGTATACGGGTGAGGGCGAGGGATACGGCCCCGAAGCTAGTTTCGGTTGGTACCCCGGTGCGGCGGAAACCGCTGCTGATGTCGCAAACCGTGGATTGGCTTTGTAAGCGTTGTAACTCGTAGGGTACTGTCCCGCCGAAGGTACGGGCGGCGAAGGCGAATGATGCCGTTTTAGGGGAGGCCGATGGGGTTGCGGGGTAGCCACCTTGTGTCCTGAACCCGGGTGAGCGCTAGTCATGTAACGCTGATCCTGTATAGGAATTCAAGAATATTTTTAAAGTACTGAGGACCGACCGAAGTCATGAAATACTTGGGACCGTGGACCTGGAACATCTCCCGCAGTACGAACAGCGACTCACCGAAATGTATACAGGACCGGGTATGTCCGGTCTTTGATGCGAATGATGCTGTGCTTCCTGCAGGAGCTTCTGTTGTTGAGCGAATTGCATCATGTGTTGCTGATTGATCTGCTCCTGCTGCATTTTTCGCTTCGCGTCGTCTTCGTTCCACATTTTCTTCAGTTGTAACACGAGATCTTGCTTCTCGGAGCGAAGCTGTTGGAGTTTTTTCTCCGAAGCAGCTACCTGGTCCTTGATCTCCTCGAGAGTCATGGCGTCCTGCAGAAGGATTTTCGTAGATTAATCATGACATTTCCAGCTGTGCGGGAAGTCCTGCCGTCGGTGATCAGCCCTTTCGGCAATGTCTTTCGGAGACACCTCGAATGCACACGGATGTCGACTGTGGCATTCTCTCTCCGCTTCTTCTTCCTTGGCAACGATTCGTCTCAAGGACCGTTTCCAAACATATTTCGAAACAAAGTGACAATCGGCTGACTTCGAGTCTGCTGCCCGTAAACCGATCGATGCGAATCACCCGTGTTCTCGGCGAGGAAATGCGAGACTTTTCCCGTTGAGAATATTCTAAGAGCGACGACAGAGATCGATCGGTGGATCGATGGCTCGGCTCAGAGGACGTGACTCAACGATTCCGGGAGAAGAAATTTCGTTCCATCGAGCGGAACGAAGAATCCTATCGCTGGAAAAAATCGCACGTGGATTCATGAACTCGATGACGGAGCAGAGTGACTCACCCTTTTTCTCTTTTGCTCCATTTCACGACGCATCTGTTGGATGGCTTGGTCAGCCTCGATTTCTTGTTTCTTCTTCTCCCGTTGCAACAGAATATGGGCTTTCAGCTGGTTCCATGTACTTAAGCCCATCTTGGGTCTCTCCATGACTAATGAGGCTGAATGGGTCATATCGCTTCCGGGATCAATTTTCTCTGAGCGAATGTCTCTGAGCCCTCCGGGAGTTGCAGGGATCGTTCCGGGCTTCCTTTGAAAATTGCTTTGAAGACAAAAATGCGCCCCGCTTTCACCGCGCTCGTTGGAGTCCGGAGTTCAGTCACTGTGACAGCGTTGGTCTGAAAGAATATGGCAATATCAGTCAAACAGCGGCTGTCATTGTGAGCGCAAGTCATGAGTCTCGATATTGTGATTCCCGCTCCATCTGCGGTCTTTCTCGCGGGCCCGGAAAAACTGTAGCGGCCGACTTTGCTTATGGATCATTCGTTCCTACGTTTCAGAGGGGGAAGCGAGCTCAGAATGGAATTAATGGACTAGGCCGGCCGCAAGAACTTTCGCGAGGAGATTGAGGCGAACTGGTCGGATGTTGACGCCAATCGATAATAATTGCTTGTCCGATATAGACTTCAGGAGGACCGAGGCAACAAGGAAAAATCCATTGTCTCCGCAGACAACGCCGAGCTTAAAGCCTCGGGCTGAAGCTTATGGTTGAGACTCGGATGCCGGACGACCTGATTCCCGGAAGTGAGCGGTTTTCGATTAGATACACTCGAATCCCCCCGGAATCATGATTCCGTCGATTGAATCTGACCGAATGCCGACAGGCGGAAGAATGCTCCACCATCTCAAGCGAAAAATATGTTTGTATCCGCTCGTATGGGTCCTTGACATCCCATTCACCGGCGGAGCCCCCTGTACCAGCCAGGGAGCCAACAGTTACCCTATCCTCTGCAGTTTCGGGGAATATTCCTGCGAGGGAAGCCTGTGATTCGCGGAGGGAGCAGAGATTACTGAAGAGAACGCCTAAAAAGCAAGTGCTCATTGCGTTTGAAAGCGCAGTGGGACGAACAGGGTCGCGTCCACGACCACGGCGATCTTCGGTGGCTTACCTTCCAATCCGATGTTTTTCACTCACTTAACACATCGAAGTCATCGGATAAAGGGCGAATTTTACATCTCGGGCACGATCCGAAGTTTTCCTATTTTGATGTTTCCCAGGCGGCCGCCATTTTATCCGAGAGGCAGCGAAACAGCGGCGGCCGCAGACGACAGAGAGAGTGTTTCAAAACCTTATTCATCTCCTTTGCCCGGCCTGATCCTCGCGCTGGTTCTTCATTTGACGCTCCTCCCTTCTGAGATTCCTCAGCTCTTGAATTGTTCCCCTGGCTACACACGGGGAGCTTGCCCATACAAGAGCGAAATCGTGATGCACTCCGTCATCGGGCCCCAATGTTTACGTTTCCCTCTGAGGCCGAGAGGGAGAAAGAGAGCGACAGCGCGGCAATCTTGAACGCTTGACGGATCCTCGCCTGTCAGGACTATGGAGTCAAACATCCTCCGGAAAAATATCGCACTCCGAAAAATCATGAGTGAGGAACGGTGGTTGGACCTGAAGACTTGGACAAAGGAATCACATGGATTTCTTGCTCGTATCTCGTATCGATAGACCGCTCTCCGATGACCTCCAGACCAGAATAGTCAAGCGACATCAGCGGTTAGAAAGTTTTGCTCGGAGGCCTTGCGACTTCGAATCGAGCGCTGCGCGCTCGAAGTCACTTCCACCGTACTCGAGATCAATCCCGCGGGAATTCGACAGAGATCAAGAAGGTCCCCATGGTATTGGAAGACAAAGTGAATGGATGACTCCATGGACGTGACGAATAATCAGAGGCCATCGGACTCTAAATCGATGCCATCATTGACTAGGAGCGCCCGTCAGGTGAAAATATAGCATTTTCTCTTCGCGACTAGTGAGCACCTGTATCCGCAGATCCGGAGGGAAATCGTGGATATTTATCAGACCTGGTCTCTTCTGATTAATCTGGGCTCGGTGGCATACCTTACCTGATCCCAGGCTGTCATTCTCTATCGGAGTCCACAAATATGATTTTCTACTACGATTTTTCAATTCATGCCTACGCGGGAGTTGGCGTCCGAATACAAGAGTTGGTCCCTGTCGGACACTTTTCCATTGATTGCAGATGTGTGCATTCTTCCGTGATGCATGAATTTTTTCGAGATTGAGCCAGGAGGTTGCTTCACAGCTCTTGAGGGATGTTCACAGCTCACCTCCGCCGCGGAAGGGTTTGGCAATCAATGTTGAGAGAATCTGTATTTTTATAAGTACCTACATATGTCTAGTATTACCCTGCTCCGGCAAGGATATGACTTGGTATATGATATCAGATGGAAGAAGAAGTTTTACGTCTTTAAACAGATATCACAATGAATTTTATTCTCAATACTCTCATTACTTTCATACCTTCATTACTTTCGAAAACTCCCATTAAAACCCGGAGTCTACTGCTGCAATTTAGTCAGCGATGTCGGTGCGACTTTCCGATGCAGATATTTCAGGACATACAATGGTAGACACGAAACAAGGGTGACCAGGATCACCTTGTAGAGGAACTGAGGACTCTGGATGAAGTTTACGTCTGTAAGAAAGAGATGATCATTTATCGAGCAGCTCCGAGCGATGAACAACGAGCATAGTGTTATCATGCGGTAACGTGCGCAACGATGACTATCCGATACTCGATCGATACTACGGTGCTCCCGTCCGCATGCCGGCGAGTAAGCAAGTAAACGCCGCACGATTTCGTCGGAAAATCGACTCTAGGGACAACGATCGCTTTCTTACTTTATTAGACTCATCATCACCAGCATATACAACTGTTTTGATAACAATAAATATTTTTCCTGCATCGTCCGGAACGTGGGTGTGTCGTGGCACGATTCGCCAAAACAGAGTCAAACCGTGATTACTCTCCCAAACATTCTGTTGATCTGTGGACACTAAGCTGCCCGGGGAAACCCCAGGTGAGAACTCGCTGGTCCACCTAGTCACCACATGACGAGCTGGGAGATACGCCAGACACTGTGGGGAGCACACGTCGCGGCGTTGCAGCGGCGATACAGTTGAGATCAGAGTCCGATATTTATGATAATTTAGAGTAGCTGGGCGGGGCTACTTTCCGATGCATATACTTCAGCAACACGAGCGGTACACAAGACAACAAGGTCACACATACGACCTTGAATAAGAAATCGCGGCTCTGAATGAAGTTCTTATCTGAAAATTTAGATCGAATTAAACATAAGGAAACCAGAGGCAGGTCCGCAGCTGAGAGAAGACTAAATCCGAGTCTCAACCACGGAAGAGATGATCTTGATTGGGGGAGCATTCGATCTTTTTAATTACTCCAATCGCAAGTGATGCAGAAGAGAGTGGAAAATGTGAAGACAGCCAAGATTTTCAGAAACATAGATTCACTTTACATCGAAAGCGTCCCCTCATTTCTATTGATCAGAGGGAATTGAGAATTTGATGTCTGGATACCAATTCAAGCTGAGTCTCTGGGGCGGCAATGATCCGAAGCCATCGATTGACTGCTACTGTGCGTCAAATACGCGGAGAATCGTCCCGAGATATACATATGTATGTATAGCATTCTGATTGAGATAATTCCATCCCTCGAGCTCAGGAGACTTGCGCTTGAATCAGTCCCACAACAAATAACTGAATTGAGCTGTGAAGTACGAAGTGTTGTTTCGACAAAGAGGAGGTACTCACCTCGAGCGTGATGAAAGAAAAAAACGTGGAAACCGAATCGAAAAACAACCAATGAAGGAACAGGAAACGTTTGTCTGTCGCGATCATCGGCCAAGCGTGTGGAGCTCACTTATCGGGGGCGATCTTCTTCGACAAGCCATAATGCGGTGCAAGCCGATGTTGGAACTGTCAGAATTTTCATTTTCGTTCGGCTATAGACGCAAACGGGCCCGTTTTACGAGATTGAAACGGCCCAAAAACTCAAGAGGGAGACAGCCAAGCCCGATTCGCAGTCATCGTGGAAACGTACAGCCTTACAAACGAAACGAGTGCCACGCTCTTCCGGAAAACTACATGCTAGCGACTCGTGTAATTGCATCAACAAGAAAATCGGAAGCCCCTCTATCATGTCAAGGAAAATGAAATGATCTCGAAGTCTACCCCCATCCCGTTGACTCACCAAAGGACTCTTTCAGAATGAAGAGTGACGCGACGTAGATCCCTAACGATAGCAGTTCGGCTGCCAACATGAACCAATGCCACGTTCGGATTGTCAAAGCTACCATGAGCAGCTCAGTGAGGATCAGAGCCGTGAAGGATATCGCCACGATGTGTATGAACTCGTCTTCAAAGAACACGAGAGCACCGTACATGATGATGGCGCCTGCAATGCGGGAACACTTGTCAAGGAGGATCCTCGCGATCGATGCCGAATATCCGGATCGCGACAAGGAATGCATCACTCACCCTGATAGATGCTGACCAGCACCCAGATGAAGAACGTTTTATAAGACAAGGAGCGCCCTTTGCCCATTTCTTTATATAGCTCGGGGTACGTCAGAGCCGTCTCCGGCGTGACGTCTTTGTCGAGCACCAGGGAGAACACAGGGAACATGGTGTACACCGTGGCGTAGCCGACCATCAGGAATCCTTGGTATAAGGCCACCGATGCGAAGTAGAATACCGAACTGAAGACAGCCTGCATCACCGAGATGATGAGTCCTCGGTGGATGATGAACTGAGATAGGGCTGCGGATCGCTTGTAACTGTATCTTCCGTGGACGAGAAGTAGTCGGCTAACGTGTGAGAATTGCGTGATCGAAAAATCAGCCGCCAGAGACGCCTGACGTCCTTCTTTACCCACGATACCGATTCCTGCGTCAGCTGCTTGGATCATGCTGACGTCGTTGCCTCCGTCTCCTGTGAATGCGAAGAAATGATTTGGAATTTCGGAGAACGCTGGGGTTCGAATTGAGACACCGGGTGCCCACCTCAATGCACAATCCCATCATCGAGGTCTCACCTATAGCTGCTGTACGTTTCTGGGTATGCCGTTTTATCAACTCGACCACCTGCGCCTTCTGGGTGGGGGAACAGCGGCAGCAAACGACCGCGGGACACTGGCAAGCGAGTTCCATGAACTCTTTGGCATAGTGTTTGAGACAGTTCTCGAGAGAGTCGCCGCTGATGACTAGAGCTGCATCGTTCTTCTTGCGGAATGCGTTCATTTCTTCGTGGGCACTGACTCGATCGGTTACTGTATCGAAAACGTGCACATCCTTCATCTTCGACACCAGGCGGGATGATTTCGCAATCGAGGTTGCCGTCTCGAGTTTGTCACCCGTCAACATCCAAACCTTGATGCCAGCGTTCGAAAGGAGCTCCAGCGTCGGTTTCACGTCTTTCTGAAGCTGATCCTCGACGCCTGTGGAAGATGAGAATAATTTTCCGTATTGGGCTTCCGGTAGGAGACACGTCGATCCGAGGAACGGACAGAGCTCTTATCAATCACGTGACGTAATGCTTATACGTCCGTACCTGTTAAGCAGACGAGCTCGAGGTCTTTCTCGAGGCTCATCAGAACTTCGTTAACCCGCTCTTGGCGATCCTGCATCGCCACTTTCGCTTTGTGTAGCCTGGTCTGGAATTCGGCGTACATTTCCTCGGTCAAACTCTTCTTCGCGACGACCAAAGTCCGCAGACCTTCGCGAGCGAGGTTGTCGCATTCTTCTTCCAACCAATCGTTGTACTGCACGATTTGCGACATGATCATGTCGGCACCTGCGGGATCAATTTTTTTTTTCTCAGTCAATTTTTCCGCGTAGGAGACTCCCGATAGATATCACGGTCAAAATAAACGAATGGAGACTCTCGTCCCGCCCAAGAAGCGAAACTCACCCTTCATGAGGAACGTGATTTCTCCGCTATTTTCTTCCCGGACGATAATTCCCATTCTCTTGCGTTCCGATGTGAATGGGAAAGTTTCGAGAATAGTGTACGTGAGTTTGTTCCCGTGGGGTGTCTTCAATTTCATCTGAGTGATATCTCTCGAAACCAAGGTGAGCCCAACGCATTCGGTCCACTCGACAAGAGCGACTTCGTCCGGCGATGAGGCTTGGTACACGACCGCCTGTTTGTCGCAAGGCTCGACGCTGCCGAAATTCGACACAGGACACCGAAGTGGAGTCGAAGACGACGACGACGAGGTGTCCAAATGATCCTCCATACCTGCCATTTGACCTTTCGAATGGCGATCCATCATCACAGTGTCTGATGATTGACCACTGGCATTGTCATACACGGGCGTAACGTTGTGACACAGGGCTAGAGCCCACACGGCGTCGTGAACTTTGACCGCTTTGCTCTTCTTCGTCACCCTCGAGGTGGATGGTTGCATGGTGAGCAGCTCGCGGTTGCCTGCCGGGTCGTACCAGTGGGCTAGGATCGTGCGGATTTCCTCGAAGCCTTCGGCGCCGTAACCTTGATCACCGACGTGGAGCCGTTTGAAGATCATCTCGTTTTTCGTGAGGGTTCCAGTCTTGTCCGATAGCAAGTAATTGATTCTCCCGAGCTCTTCAGGGATCGTCGTTGACCTCACTACGGTATTGGGTATCCGCCCGTCAGCCTGGATCATATACGAATAGCACACCTTTCCGATATCCAGGTTAACCCGCAGTGAGATTGGGACGATGTACGAGAACAGGAGAATGTATCGGATCAGGTAGTTCCACCACGGACCGTCGAATCCCTTCAAGATGACCATGACCAGCGCCAGAACGATGACGGCGGCGACACAAACTTTCGTCAACGAATTTATTTCTTCATCCAACAAACCGATCTTGCTTCGGGACTCGTTGTTGTTCATCATAGATCTGGTCTCAATTCCGGTGTAGATGACGCATCTATGGGAAGAGAGGGAGAAACAGACATGGTAGACGGTCGAAGTTGAAGTTCCCGAGAACGAGGAGAACTAGAGGGGAACCTGAGCCCGCGAACATTGATCCACTATCCAGACAGAAGCGTGAATTGTCAGATGGACTTATACCGCGAGCACTCACCCGACAGCTGTTCCTGAAGCCACGACGGTGTTGGCCCAGAGCGTGTTTTCCACAGCGAGGGGTTCCTCATGATTCTCGTGGTCGTGTCGCTTGAAAGTGCCTTCAAAGTGATCGATGGCCCGCTTCGGGGCCTCAGCGTAGATCGAGGCATCCAGTTGCACGAGTTGCTACGGGGAAGGATATCGTGAGCAATCTGCGGAATATATGACTGGGTCTCCCGACTTTCCAGGCATAACTTCTGCTGACGACGGACTTCGTTCGTCGAACACTCTGCTCCGAGTTCCGTGTAACGTATTCACATCACCTACCTCCATGTGCTGGAGGTTTTGGGTTGTTCCGACAGCGAGTCGCAGTTTCCAATCAGTTTCACCGTCTAGCTGATCGGTTCGAATGAAACAGGTTCCGTTGCGTTCTGTCGTCCGTAGGAAAACCATATCCGCGGGAACTGTTTGATTTTTCTCCACGATGATGAGGTCCGATACTGGAAGAGTCTCACCATTAGTTTCTCATCCGACAGGGGGCGGATGAGCTCCATTATCAGGTGATGCGAAGTCCCACTGAGGCCGCGGCGGGAATACCTTTGATGTGTGCTGAGTGCACCTCGATGACTCCATCGGTGGTGAGTTTTTTGTATTTGCGGGAATTGATTTCTATGTCGCGTCGATATCGTCGATAGTCGTCGACGGCTTCTCGAATCAACGTTACGCACAGCACGAACACCAGCGGACCGTAGTAGGTGTAGGCGTAGCCGATTCGGAGATCAGGAATCAATTGGGTGAGACAGACAGCGAGGAAGTAGAGATTGAGGAAAAACTTGAACTGGTGGTACAGAACTAACGGTACAAACGTCAAGATGTTGTACTTCTGATTTCGAACTTTGTTGGCGGGGAATTTCTGATCGGTACTCTCGCGACTAAGGAACACCTGACGCGACTGTGGTTCCGTCTTCCGGAAACACGAGAAGCACCAGGACAGTGGCGAGCCTCGCATGTTCGTACAGCAAAAACAGAACAGACAACAGAGCCAGCTGGAAAAAGAATCTGACATTAATCTCGAGAAGCATTCCATGAAATTCCTCCGACTCGACCCTCCGGACGTAAGATCAGGAGTTATTTCGGAAATGAAAGGGAGTCGACTGTTGACTCTCGGAGCGGAGTTTATCTACGGAATCGATTCTTCCAGCTCTGGGGAGTTCTTTGACTGCAGAAACGTCTCAGGGAGTACAGGAGCTCTGGATGACCTTTCGCTCGCTCGGCTCATTCAGAGCGCGCCGGCAAAGGTCAGCAACATTTGTTAGGATCAAGGTGCGAGCGCAAGCATAGAGACTTTCCTTCCTCAGCGAGCACTAGGCATTTGCTGGTGCGGAATGTCTCACTTTCGGAAAAATCATGTGGAGAAAAGCCGGCTCGCTCGAAAAAATATGCTTTCTGACTCAAGAGTGCTATCGAGCCTAACGGGAACCGCTCCGATTCCAAGAGAGGGTTGCGTCGGAGTGCAACCAGAAGAAACTCCGACGCATAGATCAGAGGTTTGTTCGGGGTTCTGGGCAACGGAACCCAGATTAGGCAGAAGCCCACCAAACCAGCGCAAAACTCGGAAATCGAGAGGGAAGGCAAAGGAGCAGGAAAACCCAAACCAGACTAACCTGGATGGGTTGCTACAGCAGCGTTGCTTTAGTCTGAGTGAGATATTCTGCGACCTTTTGTTGTATGCGAACCTTTTGTTCTTCCGGCGGCGAGAACACGCTGAGCCAGAATCGAGGAGCGACGCTGCCTCGGAATCTTCGAAGTCGTCACCAGAGTCGCGACTGATTGAATCCCGACCCTTGGACTTCCGATTTCTAGCAGGCTCTACCGTAACCTCCACGTCGTTGGAATGTCGCAAACGGGCTCCTTGCCTGGAATAATGTGGCGAGACGATTAATCGGGATAATCACTGCGGTGAATGATGAATCCGGGGAGGATGGCACGAAATTCAATGCTTCTGCAATTATTCCACTGGATCCTGCGAGATTTCTGGCACGGAAGCAATCAATGGATGCTTCTCGCAAGCTGGCTCAATGCGAACTGATCCCGCAGAGCGACCGTCTGCTCCGTACCTGAAGATCGTGGGAGAATATCTATCCTCCCCGAAAACGCAGCACGCGAACTGGCTAGCCAGGGAAAAAGCACCATATCAAAGGGAAGATGATGAAATCGGGGAATTCTCGCAAGCCTCAGTCGGACCTGAGCCGGTCACTGAGTTTCCCATCCCGGAGCGGAAAATTCCGCGATTCATCAGAGCAGAGTCCGGAGGAACGAACTAAGAGAATTCAATCAGTCGAGCGATTGTCAACAATCAAGCTAGACACAAGGTTCGATAAGGCGGAAGCGACTCTTCCGAGATGGCGCTTAGCCTTCACTGACTGAAAGCCGATCCATGGCCAGAAACGAGAAGAGAGGAAATGTAACGGCGTGCCTTAGTGTGACAAAAGATACGCGATCGCTAATTTCGTTTTCCATTGAGTGCAATCGCACAATTCGTCATGCTTGATAGGGGGACGTTCACAGTTCCGGGATCTGGACTAGTTCAACTCCAATAGCGAGTACATCGTTCCTCCCTCACCGATATTGAGGAGTCCTATTCGGATCAACCTCTCTTCTCGCACGAAATGTATGAGCTTGAGGGGTCTATCGACAACGAGCCAAGTCCACGCTAGAAAAACGCGCTCCATAAAGACCGAAACAAGAAAAATGACAGAGCGGACTTACTGTCGATCCCCGAATCCGCGAGGAGGATCGGAACTGACGCCGCTCCTTGCCTCCGAGAGAAAACTCACTACGTTTTCACGCAAACCATCGTTTCAAGCTTCGCATGATCACCGCTCAAAAAATTTATTCAACCAGGCCGGCGGCAGTGGCCGTGTTCTGGTCGACCCAGCACAGTTGTTGCAAACACAGAATCTCTCCCAGTCGGCCGTCGGCGCAGAAACGACACCAACAACTACGCAAAAATCCTTGGACGACTGCCCCCGACGAGCGGTGGGAGTGAATGAATCGGAACCATGTATTCGGAGAATTTCGAGCCGTCGGCTCCGGCGAGCGTTCTTTCGAACAGCGAGAAGAATCGAGACGGAAGAATCGCTGTTCACGGGAGACCGGACGAGATTTGAAGAGTATTGTTCCTTGGAGGCGAAGGTCGCCCACAGCGACACCCTTACATCACTCCCTGCGTCTTCTCGCCTTGTGCTTGGACTTGTGTGGCTGACGAGAGTACTATTGATCCTCTCACTCGTCGGTGCTTACGCATCCAGAGGGATCTCACGCTGAGCTTCCATATTCCACCTACCTGGACTTGAGGGCGATGTTGTCAGTGAGGAGATCTCTCGCCTGGCGATTGGTCACGGAGTCCACGGCCATGGAAGTTTGACGACCATCCCAGCGGACTATACAGCGAGCACTGTAACGAAAGGACCTCGTTGAAGCTCAATCCGAGCTGAGCTACCGGAGCCGAATTTCCCACGTAATGGATAACGTTCAGACTTCGAACGAAAACGATGATTCATACACAACCGTCACCGTCTGACATTCACCGACAAACACACACCAACACTCACAACGCACGGCGGCCACAGGCACGAAGGAGAAAATGACAGGACAGCGACTTCGACGATACTTCCAATCGGGGTGGCGAACAGTAACGAACCTAAAGTTTGCCTCTCCTAAAGGCTTTCTGGGGCGTCAAGAGCAAGCGACGATGTCGACGACTCGCGGCTAAACTCAACAGACAGATACGGAGGCGATTAAGCGCCGCGGCCGCTGAACTCAGATGTGAACCAACTCCGCGACCTGACACGGGATGTGGATCTTCGAGAGCGACACTGGGGCCCTGTGGCTGGTGATTCTGGCGAATTGGCTCGTCCTTCGGGTACTTGCTGGTTCGGATCGATTATCGGTGGGCAGATCGATGACGGGTTGGCTGAGTCAGTGGTGGTCGACCACCGTAATGAGATTGCTCTTACCCTGGCAGCTGTTTGGCAGTATTCTGCGTCGTCCTCGATTGTGTCGAGGCACGGTGCACGACCGTGCACTCTGACAGATAAGAGACGATTCGCACTCGGTGGAGAAAAGTGGGATAGGAGTTCGTGAGAGGTTAATTCCAGCGAAATTTCCCCGATCTTCTGTGAAACACCACCACCACTATGCAGCTCCTTCCGTGAAACTTGACGATTCTTTGTGATGCTAGAAACGTCGGTGTCATTCAGCTCATTCCGAGTTTGGAAAGCTCTCGCGGGAAATCATGCTACTGACCAAACAGGATCCGTGAGCTCCCCAAATCTTTTCCAAGATAGTATCGCGGCGGGATAGAGCTAATTTGAGTAGAAACCAGAATTCTTTGAAAGAACCGTGCTCAGCAGCGGGTGTGTGGGTTCCAGGGATCGACGGAACAAGGAACGAACGAAGGTCCGTCAACAGTCTGCTGCCCACAAAAACTGACTCTGATTCGTGGCCATCGATTGAACGGATTCTTCCCGGTTACCAGTGACGGTAGTGCCTCCCTCAGTGATGATGGGCAGTTTTCAGCACTGTCCAGGGTCGCTATAAACTATGTCGACGTAAAGACGGGCTGCCTGGGCTCTCAGTCAGTCAGTCAAGCTGATGATGATCTCTGCCTGTCTTTTAAACTTGCCTTGTTCTACGTAGGAGACGGCTAGGATTACAATAAGGAGAGGGATGGAATTATTTTGGGAGCTAGCTACCTCAGTGGGGCAATGTGTAGACCGCCCGAGGGCATCTCCGATCGTGTAGCGAGGGATTGCGCCAATTGAGATCATGGGGGTTTCGCTTAAAGAGGAGCCGGCTCAGACTTGGCCGCTGCGGGGATTTCAGAAGCGGCATCACAGTATCTCCATGCAGCAGGCCAGGCATGCGAAATCGCAAAAGCATACTCATCCGATCCCGAGCTTTTTCCCCTACCATGCATAGATTCCACAAATCCACAGCCACATCCTGACTGATCCGTCGGGAGATAATTTCTTGTGATGAAGACTTGCTTCGATCCTCGATTTTCCATGGAGAAGTTTGTTCGCCAGTAAGTGCTTCTCAAGTTGGTCACGTCATCAGTTTCCCTGTTCCGCCAATCTGCCTTGATTGACGAGCCACGAGAAAATCGGACAGCTTGAGCCTATATAGGTAGCGCGAATGCACTGCGCCAAGACGAGCGCGACAGGCAAGAGCCAGGTCACGAGATGCAGATGACGGAAAACGGATCCCCATTTCTGAGGCGCAGTCCCCGCTTGGAATGCGTCGCCGGAGAGATCACAGTCTATGAGATGATCCGGAATGATTTTCTTTGATTCTGTCTCGGTGGCGTGACCTCAGCGCCTCTCCCTCGAGCGCCACTCGTTACCCCAAGCTCTGCTAGTCCCATCGGCGCGCCGCAGAACCACCGGGAATTCTACAGCTCGGTCCCCCGCCCCTGGGGCTCTGGTGCCGGAGTTTCCGTGAGAGACGTGAGCGTCGTTGGTTGGAGTTGATTGAGCTTGAGTCTCCGGAGGAAGAACCTTATGGCCGATCGACAACACTGATCTGGGAACCATGATCTCGGGAGGGATTGTCGGAACGAAAACTCCGTGTCTAGCCGAGCAGAGCGCAATGACCGCCTATCAAGAAGTCGACTGACCTGGCTCAGAAAGCTGTGCTCACTTCTCTTGAGACTGCGACCGGTGTCCCTCTCGAGGCGACGATTCGTGACAGCTCGCCTCTGGCTCAAAACGCCTCTTCCGTTGCGTTATGCCCGAATGAGGACTTGACCTCGCTCGCGAACGCTCCGATGTACTCTTGATGCTCTAGTCGAATGATATATCTGTATTTCCGAGGAAGATACCGGTGTGAACAGAGAAGCTCTGATGTTTAATACGCTCTCGCGACACGCTTCAATGACTTCGGCCGGCCTCGACCCGCTGGAACGTTATCAATCGAGCCCACAGCGCGACGTTTCCTCCCTCCTGTAAAGGAGCTCGAATGATGCGGTCCAGAGGATCAGGACAGGCAGACTGCGATGTGTCCCGCGGCCACCACTCAAATCGCTCCCTTAGAACACACTGTCTTCGATCACCTCACCGGAAGTGCACTCCGAGGAAGAATGCGTCAATATCGACGCGCGACGCTGACGGACCACCAGTAAGCGTCGCGTCGGTCGCGAACGGTCGGCTCGACGCCTCACATCCTTCCCGTTAGGCCCTCGAAAATCTTTTATTCCCCTCCAGGAATCCAACGAACACGATTCCCCGGCCTTCAGTGGCCTGCCGGAGTATGCATGGACTGATTCGTCGATACGATCGCGTTCCCACATATTATATTGGAGTTAGCTATCTGATGAGTAAGCCGAAGCGCATCCGCGGTGCTGTCGGCGCGTGGCTCGCATCCATTCATCAAGAATGGCGGGCATTGAGAAAAGTCACGCAACGCACGCGTCAGCCATGCAGCTAGCTCGCGGCACAAATATACGAAGAGGGATGCGCTACGTGAAATTGTATGTTTTCGGAACAAATGACCATTCCTCATAGAGTTCTTGCCCTGCGCCCGGATAAGCACGGCGTCGAGCTCACGGTCGCATTAGGCTCTAGGCGATTGCGGTCTCGGGTCCTCACGGAGCGCTCACATGTTTGGCCTGTCAGTAGTTGGTGACTGGTCATGATCAATACGATACCTGGAGGACCTGCTTCGGAGCTCGGTGAGACTCGTTATCGGAGCACACTTTTCTTTTCCTAAGCTGTTTCGGCTGACCCGCCGTCGACTGCTTAATCCAGCGAGTGAATCTACCGCGCGGAAGCTTCGCTCCCCCGGGGATTAAGCTGATCTCGCCCATTACCCTACTATTCCCTCTATCAGTTTTCCTCGCTGTCCAGTCTCGGCTTTTCTGTCGGATCCGTCCACCAACTCGCTCACTAGTTGAGTCAGTCGCTCGGATGTACGACGGATTCACGAGTTTTCGGATGATCGTCGAGGGAAACCCGAAGCGACCCGAGAGTCGTTGAACGAACACTGATCTCACCGTGGCTTCTGCTACCGACAGCGGTCTCTGATCCCTGCATTCAAACTCCACAGAATTCACCCCAAAAATCGTCTTGCGCCCTGATTTATCTCGATGATTAAATATCACCGGAGCTCATGAAAAGTGCGCGAGTCATGCTTCGCGGCAGCAGGCAAAAAATCCCGCCTGTTTAATCACTGATTCTTTGAAGAGATCGGACGGAGCTCACGTCCCTACATTATCCCCCGAAGATCTAAACTAGAACTCGCATCGTTGTGATTAGGGTCTGAATCCGCTTGCTGGTTTGGCTCGGAACGCTCTGCGGCTTATTCTATAAATATCATACGTCCTGGTTTATCTCTTCGAGCCCTATGCAAACAATACAAGCGCGCCGCATTCCGCAGCATCTCGCGGCATGAGCTGGAACGTCACGAGGTCCGTCGGGGTGACTTTTCCACGGTGACTACGGCCGGAAGGATCTGATTTTTCACGGGTTCTCTGCTCTTGCCCCGATTCCCGTCCGTACGCCCCTGTCAGTGAGTGGAGGCTGTTCGTTTACGGGACGTGACAGAGACCTATCCGGAGTAATCGGGTTACTTCTCTCCGAGCGCGAAGTTATCGATCTTCAGGCCTGGCGGGGAGATGTCTATTTACCCAAACTCAGGCACCTAAATTGAAAATCCCTGCGCAATCCCCAAGGGAGTGGCAATTATTTCGGCTAGTTCGAACAGCTTCCAGGCGCGATTCGTTTAAGGGAACGATACCGCGCCCGCAGAGTCATGGGACCGCGAAGGATTCCCGGGGCCACGCTCGTCGCCGGTGCTCGAATTCCTGGATGGGAGTTGGGATTTAAGTTCTCCGGCGTGTATACGGACGCGTATCGTGCGGTATGATAGAGGTCACCTCCAGATGAATTAACGGGTGGATGGGCGGATGGGCACGGGGGCAATGCGCCGAAAACGGGGACGACAGCTATGGAGTACACAAAGCTCTCCGAGGGCGGGATGACGACATTACAGAGTTGATGAGACACACTTAATTCGACACGCATCGAAGCTCGCTGCCGCTACGAACTCTCTATGACTGCCCAGCGGTCGGAACACGGAAAATAGCATCAAACTCGCCGTAACTGAAACAAAGGATGTCCTCGTACCTGACGAATTCGTGGACATTACCAGTCGCACGGTAGAGTGACGCCGACGCCGATTTTCTGACTCGGAAAATTCAGAGGAGTCTGGACCCCGGCATTCCGAACGAGCCAGCAACTCTTGAGGTGCCGGACCAGATGAGGAGACGAGGTTCGGCTCCGAAGTTATGAAGATAATTTCATGGAACGATTTGGACTTCAAGCATACGGCTTTAAATCCCCTCACGTGCAGGCAGCTGTTACGATCCGTCCCGCACTTCTCTTCGGCGCGGACTTCCACGCCCTGGTATCGCTCATGAAGCTCGCTGAGTTTCATCACTGTACAACACACAATTCCGTGTAACCCTCACCTCCGCCCTCATTGTCTTCAGTCTGATGTCAGCGGAGCTCGCTGTAGCACTGTGCTACTTCAATTAACTAATAAGGCTCTACGTTCAAGGTCACGGACGGGGAAAGGCCCCTTGTGGAGGG